GTTTCGGAGATATTCCGCGAGAGATGGCCGCTGATCTTGCGAAGGTCGCCATCAGCTGTAACTGTTATGACTGCTGTTTGAAGTCCAGAGGCATTCCTGATCCCTCGCTGATTCCTCTGCTGGCTCGCCGGGAGGAGACTATGCGAATTATCTCTCGCATCTCATCTGCGATATGCGAGGGAACGGATCCGGAGATGCGAGCAAGCGTGTCATTGTCTGATGGCCGATAATGAAGACGTTCGCTTCTCTTTTCGCTTTACGGTTCACTTCATCCGTCGAGGAGCGAAGGCCAGCGGGGTTGATGTCGACGAAAGCACAGGGAGATTCTTAGCCGTGTTTTTTTTCTCTTTTCTTTTCTTTTCCTTCGTAAACAATTATTCTGAGAGATGACAGCGATTGTTGTAGCTCCCCCCCTCCTGCGCGCCGCGGGGGGACGCGCTTCACCCAAACAAAGAGCAGCAAAAATCCCGCTTGCTGCCGAGGACGCGGGAGCGGAGACTCTCGCTGAAGGTCCCGGGCGCCATAATTGATGGTAATGAGCCCCTGTTTTGAAAGCCATCATGCCCGGGCACCGATCGCTTTCCCGAAGGAGAGGAAGAGAAGAGCAAAAAGGCGCTTACTTCTTTGCAGATGGCGAGGCGAGTAAAAAAGGGGGGAACATTTTGATTATTTTCCGCTCTCTCGAGCTCTCTCCGAGGGCTGCATACATCACCCTACCAAGCCGCTCAAAAGTGCGGTAATATATTTATTAATTTCGTTTAAATTTCTTGCTCCGCACAACGTTTGGTGGCTGTCATGTCCCGTTGGTCGTGAGCCAATCAGACGGCTAGCTATGCGGTGACGTCACGCGTTGATGGCTCGTCGGCCAATGAGGAGTGACAGGCGGAACGACCTGGCTCTTCTGATGAGCGTCCCTCCGCCCCGACCAGAGTATTTCGGGCGCCACGTGCATAGCTCGCAGCCGCCGACCAAATCACACGCCGGCCTCAGCCACACCGACGTAAAAACGCGTGCTCTTATCCAGCAACCACAAGAAAGAATACAGAAGAAGAAGAAAGAAAGAAAGAAAACAGAAGAAGAAGAGAAGAAGAAAACACATCAACCACAAGAAAGAACAGAAGAAGAAGAGGAAGAAGAAACACATCAACCACAAGAAAGAACAGAAGAAGAAGAAGAAGAAAGAAAAAAAAACAATTCAACTACAAGAAAGAGAACAGAGGAAGAAGAAAAAAACACATCAACCACAAGAAAGAGAACAGAAGAAGAAAAACACAACCACAAGAAAGAGAACAGGGGAAGAAGATCAAAAAAAAATCAACCACAATAAAGAAAGAAAAAAGAAACACACACACCAGGAAACCTTTCCCGAACTCCAAAAAGAAAAAAAAAGGAAAATACGATTTATCACCTGACAGATCACGACTAACCCCCTCCCCCCACCCCACCCCCGCCCTCCAAAAGGTGATTCGAGTCAAACCCCACGAAATGGATACCAGAGGACCCACATCCATTACGAGCAGGTGTTTCCCATGGTACCTTCTCACCATCCCGCCCATATCTCTCCTCCCCTTCCCTGTACCTCGCCTCGCCGGTACACGAGACCCGCGAAGGAGTACCATCAACGTCAGAATCGCCTGTCATTAAATATAGCGTAATGAATCACCGGCGGGATACACTGCAAACCTGCCGCGGTGGTCTGGGATGTGAGCATTGACGTTGTATTTTTTGGTGAGGGAGAGTTTGAGGGGGAAGTGAGAAAGAGGGAGGGGGAGAGGGAGTGAAGGAGAAGGGGGAGAGAGGGAGGGGAGGGAGGAGGCAGAGGAGGGAGAGAGGGAGGGAGGGAGAGAGAGAGAGGAGGGGAAAGGGGGAGGGAGGTAGAGAGGAGGGAGAGAGGGAGGGAGAAAGGCAGAGAGGAGGGGAGAGAGGGGGGGAGGAGAAAGGCAGAGAGGAGGGGAGAGAGGGAGGGAGGAGAAGGCGAGAGAGGTGCGCGAGAGAAAGAAGAGAGGGAACGATAAAGATAGTGGAAAAGAGAGAGGGTGCGAGAGAGAAAAGGAGAGCTAAAGAAAGGAGGAGAAAGAGAAGGAAAGATAAAGATAAGGGAGGTGAGAAAGAAGGAGGGAGAAGAAGAAGGAGAGACAGAGAAAGAAGAGAGAAAGAGAGAGAGAGAGAAAGCCTTGATTGGAGACATGCGGTTAGCATTAATTTGATAATTGTTAACATATTTGTTTTATATATACTCCTTAATTAATCCCACGTTTAATGCCTATAAATACATGCTTTTAAACGAATATATCCGGCACTTAAAGTGTTAGTGTGTTCTTATGTGAGTCTGTGTGTGTGTGTGTGTGTGTGTGTGTGTGTGTGTGTGTTGTGTGTGTGTGTGTGTGTGTGTGTGTGTGCGTGTGTGTGCGTGTGTGTGCGTGTGTGTGTGTGTGTGTGTGCGTGTGTGTGTGTGTGTGTGTGTGTGTGCGCGTATGTATGTGTGTGCGTGTGTGTGTGGTGTGGTGTGTGTGTGTGTGTTGTGTGTGTGTGTGTGTGTGTGTGTGTGTGTGTGTGTGTGTGTGTGTGATCTATATACTGGGTACAGTGATAGAATAGAATATTAAGTAAATACACAAGATTTGAACCCAAGACACGGAAGCGTAAATGAAAGAGCATTAAATCCCTTCCTTTCTGTGCCATAGTCACTCTGAATCAAGTGATAGAATCATAACTGACAATACTCTGCAGTGCCACAGTGCCACAGTGCCACACGCATTTGAATATATCGCATCGAGATATTTTCCCAGCTTCATCATGGGTGGTCCACAAAGGGTCTATTTTCCTATGTAACAAACAGGACAAGACGTCTTACAAGCTATAAGAATTATTATATTAAGCTTATAGGCAATATTGAGCTTAAAAGATCATTTATATGAATCATGATGTTGAGTGAATTTGTTCAGCAATCTCAAACACATCTCACAGGCAATTGATTATTGATATGTCAATGTGACAAGCTTTATTTGTTTATATGACACTGTTGACGTTCCCGAGCGGGTGATGTGCTCAAACACATTATGCAAACTGAACCTGATATCTTACTATCACAGTGATTGCGCCGAATAAAGATAGACTGTGATATTCTTGAGACTTTTTTGCGAGTTTCTCTTTTCATTTGTTTACACGGAAAAGTCGAGGGAAAATATGGTGGAGTTTGATTTATGATATACTTATGATATGTTTATGATGTATCTATTTATGATAGATATTTATATGTTTATGATTATGTCTTGTATTTCTTTTTTTATTATTTATTTATGATATATTTATGATATATTTATGGTATATTTATATGATAGATATTTATTTATGATAGATATTTATGATATACTTATATATATCTGTATTTCTTTTTTTTTTAGTCTGTAAATGACAAGGAAAATAAATGAATACTAGTTCGTCACGGATTCATTAACATAGATCTGCATTCTGAACGAGCAGATTTTATCAACAAACAACAAACTCCTTTTCCAATTTCATCTCGCTACTGACTTAACGCATCCAGTTAAATCAATGGACTTTCAAAAATATAAAATGATGCAGTCTCTCACCTGTAATAATAATAGATCTGACGCTGGAGCCTATTAAAATTTCGAATTTAGACCACAGGCTCCTTCTACCGCAACTTTTGGGAACTAACTGCGCTGGTTCATTGGGATCTGACCTTTATGAACCTCCCTCGCTAACTGGGCAAGCGTGGGTTGGCTTTGGTGTATTTAATGTATGGTGATGGTATGGTATCTTGAACGTATGGTCATGATATGGTATCGTGGTATTATATTAAGGATTCGGGATATAAATCGTGGTATCGTTTTGTACGTCAATTGGTAAGGCATAACCATACAGTCTATACGTTGTTCATATACCACCATATACTGCCTATTCGCGTGCAAGACTAATTATTAAATGGTATACCACCATATTATACAATGCATTCCGAATTTAGGATATAATGTAATCATATATTGTAGTAAATCAAAGAGCTGGAATGTTTATGGAGTTCTACAAGCAAAGGCAGGTGCTGGAGAGGCTTCTATCACATGACATCCTGAGATATCGTGTGCAAGTGTTTACTGAGGAACTTCAGAGAAAAGTTGACGCTGAGGTTCTTCCACGCTGTATGTTTAACCAGCCTGCCTACACTCGCCCCTCTTCTATTCCCCCCTTTTCTTGTCTTCCTTATCCCTCCCCCTCTTCTCCTCTCCATCCCTACCCTCCCTCCTTCATCGTTCCTTCACTTCTCCCTCTTCTTCGTTCCGTGCCTCCTCTCCTATCTTCTCCCTCCTCATCGTCCTCCCCTCTCCTTTCCTCTTCGCTCTTCCTCGCCCCTCTTCTATCCCCCATTTCCTAGCCCTCCTTATCCCTCCCCTCTTTTCTCCCTCCCTTCTTTTATCCCTCCCTTCTTCTCCTCTCCATCCCTCCTCTCCATCCTTCATCGTCCCTCCACTTCTCCCTCCTCTTCGTCCCATGCCTCCACTCAGCCTTTACCCAGTTCTAATTTTCGCAGACATATTCTTATTCTTGTGTTGTATGAGTCTTAGGCGATTTTTTTTCCTAAGGTAGACTGGTTGTAACAATTTATTCTAAAGATTTAATTCCCTACTGAACATACCGAGTTGCAGAAAATAACTCCCGAGTCTTGATCTGATAGTAATTTTGTGGTTAGAAGTAGTTAGTAATAGACAGTTATAATAGACGTTATATAATATATATATATAATATAATAGTTATATAATATATATAATAATAATATATATATATAATAGTATATAATATTATAATATAATAGAAAGTTATAATAGACGGTTAGTAATACAGTGATTAGTCAAGTACTTCTTATCACCCTGGTTAATTATGTAGGCACAGGCAGGCTTTGATACATTTGAGGCAATGACCATAACAAAATATATCATTACTATCCTTATTTCAACCCCTCCTCTCTAACCCCCCCCCCCATTATCATCATTACTATAATTATTACAAACTCCTCCTCTCTCTCTACCCCCCCCCCCATTGCCATCATTACCATTATTATTACAACCCCTCATTACCATCATTACTATAATTATTACAACCCCTCCTCTCTAACCCCCCCACCCCCCCATTACCATCATTACCATCATTATTACAACCCCTCCTCCCCCTCCCCATTACCATCATTACTATAAATTACAACCCCCCCCTCTCTCCCCCTCATTACCATCATCACTACCATTATTAAAACCCCTCCCCATTTCCATCATTTCCATTATTATTACAACCCCTCATTATCGTCATTACCATCATTATTACATCCCCTCCTCTCTATCCCCCCTCCTCCTCATTACCATCATTACTATAATTATTACAACTCTAATTATTACTATAATTATTATAATTATAATTATATAATTATTAATTATAACTATAATTATTACTACCTCTCCCCCCCCCCCAGGTCTGGTTCCAGAACCGCCGTGCCAAGTTCCGCCGCAACGAGAGGAGCGTCTTAGCCCAGAGGTCCTCCTCCTTCCGGCCAGCTGACACGCCCCCTTCGGTCACGCCCACGACAGGCCCCGTCGAGCAGCCTCTCGCGCCCAGGCCCTCCGGTAGGTTTAAGGGGGGGGGGGGGGTTAAGGGGTTTGGTTTAGAAACGATTTTGTTTTTTTGTTTCTTTTTCTTACTGATTTTCTGTTTTTTTTCAGTTTTTTTTTCTTTCTTTTTTGTTTTTTCTTTGTTTTTTTTTTCCTTTCTCATTTTTTTTTCCTTTTCTTTTTCTTTTCTGTTTTTTTTTGTTTTTTTTCTTCTTCTCTTCTGTTCTTCTTTCTCCTTTCTTTTTTTCTGATTTATATTTTGGTTTACAGTAAAATGGAGATATATTTCAGTTACTCAAAGTTAGAATTATTTAAAACTTTTTATTTTATATTTATTTTTATTTTATTATTTATTTATTTATTTTTTTTTTGGGGGGAGGTTTAAAGTTAAATGGAGATTTATTTCAGCTTCTCAGAGTTAGCTTTCTTTAAGCTTGTCTGTTTTTAAGGTTTGGTTTAAAGTAAAATTATGTATTTTAACTACTCAAAGATAATTTTCTTTAAAATTTTCTATATTTTCATGGATTGCTTTAAAGTCAAATGGAGATTTATTTTAACTAATCAAAGTTAACTTTCTTTAAAATTGTCTATTTTCATATTTTGGTTTAAAGCAAAATAGAGATTTATTATCTATTCTGAATGAAAGTAAGAACGTTTTTTACGGATATTACTGTCTCTACCATGAATAATTAATCAAAAGCTTCACACTTTATTTCATTATCATATAAATTTTCAAATATTTCCTATTTCGAATTTCACGAAACTCCAATACGATTTTTTGTAGCGTTCATAATTCATAATCAACTTCAAAATTGTATCAAGTTGTAATAATGACAATAATGATGATAATGATGGGGATATAGTGATGAAAATAAGCTCATTTTACCGTATTGACAGAATAGCTGAAAAAAATACATGATACACCTTTCATTAAACCTACTTTGGTTTATCAATATGTTTTTGTGTGTGTTTTTATTTTCTACCATCTATTTATTTATTTATTTTGTATCTGTATCTAGTTTTTATTAATAATTTTTATATGTATCTAGTTTTTATCAATATTTTTTATATTTTGTGTCTAGTTTTTTCTTGTTTTTATTTGTTTATTCATTTATTTTGTATCTGTATCTAGTTTTTTAATACTTGTTTATGTATGTTTGTATTTATTTGGTTTTTATCAATATTTTGTGTCTGTATATCGAGGGTTTATCACTTTTTTTGTATTTAGTCTCTCATTATTGTTTGGTGTGTCTATCTAGGGTTCATATGTAAGCAGCGTAAACACATACACACACACACGCACACGCACGCACGCGCACACACACACACACACACACACACACACACACACACACACACACACACACACACACACACCACACACACCACACACACACACACACACACACACACACACACACACACACACACACACACACACACACACACACACACACACACTCACACACACACACACACACGCACGCAAATCGACCCAAAAATGAGCGACCCTCTTTTTCCTTCAGGCAACACCGGCATGCCCATGTGCGACTACAGCGGCTACGGGACGGTGGGCGTGGGCGTGGGCGTGGGGGCGTGGAAGGGGTCCGGAGGAGGTGTGGGCGGAGCGACGCCTCCATATCTATCACACTTCACGCCCACCAGTTCTCCCACGCCCATGTGCACGTCGTTGCCACCCGGTGAGTTCGTATTTTTGAGGCGAGAGTCACTCTTCATTTATTTTTTCATTTTTCTCTCCTTTCATTTTTGTTTTTATTATTTTTTTTTTCTTTCTTTCTCTGTTTTGATGTTTATTTTACTTCATCTTTCTCTCCTTTCTTTTTTATTTTCATCATTTTTCTTTCTTTGGTTTGATATTTATTTTCTTCATCTTTCTCTCCTTTCTTCTTTATTTTCATCATTTTTCTTTTTGTTTTGATGTTTATTTTCATCTTTTCTCCTTTCTCTTTTTTTCATTATTTTTGTTTGTTTGTTTGATATTTATTTTCTTCATCTTTTTCTCCTTTCTCTTTTATTTTTATTATTTTCTTTCTTTGTTTGTTTTGATGTTTGTTTTTTTCCTCATTTTCACTTCAGATTCTCTATTTCTTTCTTTTCGTCCCTTTTTTATTATTTTTCTTTCTTTGTTTGTTTTGATGTTTTTCTTCCTCATTTTCACTTCAGTTTCTCTGATTTTTTTTTCTTCTTTTCGTTTACATCTTGGCTTGTTCTTCTTTTGTTAATTCGTAATGTTTAATTTTGCTATTGAAGTTTCTAAAAATTACCCGCGTTTTTTGTTTTCGAAATGGACTGATATAAAGACAGATTCTCTATTTATTGTTCTCTATTTCATTATCATATGAATTTTCTATTCCTTATCACAAATTTAACAAAACTCCAATACGACTTTTTTGTAGCGTTCATAATTCGTAATCAAGTTCAAATTATCTCAATTATTTTCAGTGTTAATTTTTTTTCTTCTTCTTCTTTCTTAATGACCTTGTTTTTCATCACTGACCTCGCTTTCTCAATTATTTTCCAATGCTCTTTTTTTTTTCTATTCTTAATGACCCTGTTTTTCATCAGTGACCCCGTTTTGTCAATTATGTTTATTTTTTTTCTCTCTCTTAGTGACCTCGCTTTCTCACTTATTTTCCAGTGTTCATTTATTCTTCTTTTAATGACCTTGTTTTTCATCAGTGACCTTGCTTCTTTCAGGACTCGGCGGGACTTACGGCAGCGGCATGCCCACCGCAGGTCAAATGGGCGGAGCTTACATGGGGTCATCGCTAGCGAATCTGCGACTGCGCGCGCACGAGTACTCCCTCCACCAAGGTCAAGTGTGAAGTGCTCTCGAAACGCGTGTGCGAATAAGAAAATGATAGAATGGTTATAACGCAGGACACGTGAGGCTTTCGGGTTCGTGTGTTCGAAGCATCGGTGGTTCGTTTGGTGTGAACCGAGAAGCTTCGAACTTTCGGAAGAATTGTTAGTCTGTGACAGAACTCGTGATCTTGGGGGGAAAAAAAGTGCGACGTGAATCTAGTGCGTCTAAAAGCCTTGTATAGAAATCTGTGTGCGCACTAAAGGCCATTTGTCCATGATAAGACCCAAGTTCATGAACCATATGAGTGGAAATCCTTAACTGTGGGGAGGAGAAAATGTTATAATTATGTATGACGGTACTATTACCTACTCTCGCGGCCGACCCAAGCTATGTCCATGGATTTAAACCGGCCAGGGACAGACAAATGTAAAAAAGCATAAATCATATCCCAGTTTTTTTCAAGTCATACCTTCAGTGACGTGGAGGTTTCGCCAATGGACAAAGCTCATCATGAACACCAAAGTTTGTTGTTTTAGCAAGTTCATCGACGACAGATTCCTTACAAGTGTTCAGTGACCGGCAAGTTGAGTAAAAAGGTCGCTGTTGCAGTAATTAAATATGAATTCACTTCTGTTATGTATTCGCATGTACCGGATTCGCTGTGTTAACAGTATATCTCATATCTGGGTCAGTAAATGGAAGCCATGTTAGGCAGATGCTAAGGAATGAAGTCTAATTCAGTGGAAAACAGTCTTGGAGCTTTTCTAAAGAAGTGAACGCAGCGCTAACCACAGTGGGAATCAGAGTCGAAATCTTCAGCATTGTGTCCATTCTCAACGCCCGTCTCCAGCATGTATTAAGAAGCCAGCACGGATAAAGCATAACACGATTTAAAGCCAAAAAACAAGTGATATGGAAACTGTGTCGCTCTTGTCTCTAAGCAAGGAAGTGACACAGTCTGATTAGGAAAGACAAGACGATGTTACTTGTGCATCGCGTCAAAAGGAACTCGAAAACACCCAAAAAAAACTACGTTTCTTGGACTGTGTGTATAGTGTGGCGTTCCTTTATCCGTTGAACACGGGGAACTATGTTCAAAATGTTCACCCGTGATAAAACTCTGTGTGTCTGTGATCATCCGAAGAGACCTTAATCATGTTGGCAATTATTTTTTTTTTTCTTTAGTTCCTGGTGCTTATATGACCGATTCCAAGATACAGGACCATGTTGTGGAGTCATAGCCCAGGTTGCATCACTGTACTTAGTAAACTGCATTTTTTTTCACTTCTCATGTACAGTATGTTGTTTCATACTTGGAGTATTACTGGCAAATTTGGTTATTAGAAGTGAGAAGAAGAAGAAAAAAAATCTTACACTTGTAATTCAAGAATAATATATTGTGGACCACAGTTGTGTCTTTTTTTAAGACCTTAGATACCTGATGAAAGTTTCTCTCTCCTTCTCTGTCTCTCTCTCTCTCTCCTCTCTCTCTCTCTCTCTCTCTCTCTCTCTCTCTCTCTCTCTCTCTCTCTCTCTCTCTCTCTTCTCTCTCTCTCTCTCTCTCTCTCTCTCTCTCTCTCTTTCTCTTCTCTCTCTTTTCTCTCTCTCTCTCTCTCTCTCTCTTTCTCTCTCTCTCTCTTCTCTTCTCTCTCTTCTCTCTCTCTCTCTCTCTCTCTCTCTCTCTCTTCTCTCTCTCTCTCTCTCTCTCTCTCTCTCTCTCTCTCTCTCTCTCTCTCTCTTCTCTCTCTCTCTCTCTTCTCTCTCTCTCTCTCTTCTCTCTCTCTCTTCTCTCTCTCTCTCTCTCTCTCTCTCTCTCTCTCTTCTCTCTCTCTCTCTCTCTCTCTCTCTTCTCGTCTCTCTACCTGATGAAAGTTTACAATATATTTTTGTTAATGGTCAAAGCAATTAATAATATGAATAGTTGACACAGATATTTTTTCTAGCAATTGTTTTTTTAAGAAATCAGAATTATTTACTAGATAAAAATACCTTAGTCTCATACCACGGTTTTGAAGTATGCGACGCACTGAGTAGAAAAGTCTCGATCGTGTGAATGGGTTCATTCTATTCTACTTAGAAATTCAAATGTATACGTTTGGTGTAGTAATTACTCACGGCGAAAGAGATTAAAAGAAGATAAGCGTGACATATTAGAAGGAATTGTGGAGAACCAAAAAGCGTTGAAAATCATGTGACAGTAGAAATGCAAATAACTCTAAAATTAAGGAAACTAGAAATGGATTATAGATTAATCGTCTTGAAATAAATACATCAATAATAAACAGAGAAAACGAACAAATTTGAAGAGAATTAAAGAAAAGCGCAGAATCACCCAAGAGTTCGCACAAATCTACGGGTGTGACACGCCATACACCGAACGATATGCAAATTTCTATATCAAACTTTATCTTTATACTATTTCCGAAAGTGCGCGTTCCGATTAAAAATACAGCCGATATCTTTGAATAAGTCAATTGAAATTACATACACTTATGACTTAGAATTAAAGACGATAGACGATGATACCGTACGACCCCGCTTAGCGATCTCAATATGCCCAGTGCGTGTTCTTAATTTATTTCTCGTTTTGTAGAACCAAATTAATCGGTAAAATGATATTATAGATTTCCACGCATCAGACTACATTTTAGCAATATGTAGAGGTAGATTTTCCACGATATTTTGTTGTGCTTTAGAGAATAAATAACTTTTAACGCTGCGTATCAACAACTCGACTTAATCGGCCGGTTAAAATTGTGCGAGTGTCGACCCAATGAAGATTCTTATATACAGACATGCATTTACACAGAAATAAAAGCATATCTGTCTATATATATCTGATAGATATACATTTATCTATTTTCTCGGTTGATATATACGTCTAGACTGATAAACATGCATTTATTAATTCATTTTTGCCGGGTTGATATGCATGGCTAGACTGATAAATATGTATTTATCTCTTTATTTATGCATGTCAAGTATACGAATATTCTTTGGGTCGGACCTCGTGCAATTTTAACAAACCGGCTAAATGTTAAATTATTTAGGCCATTGTCTACGGTCAGTCTGTTGCTTGATATTACGAATCAAAATTACCATAATTTTTCAGCTGTAGGTAATGTCTGAATAGCTGAAATATGTCGTTTAATTGAACCGTATTCATGTTGACAAAGGTAGAAAAGGAATGAATGAGAATGAATATCTTCACAATACATATTTCTGACGTAGATATGATCGAAACCGGTCAAATACATCTCTTGTATTGTGAAGATATTCATTCTCATTCATACCTTTTCTACAAATGTCATTTAATGTTCTGTTTATGAGGTCTCGGTAGCGATGATAAGGATAATAGTAATTTTAGTGGTAATGAAAATTATCCTTGTAATAATATTGATAATTACGGGTGATTATGATAATGATGTTAATAACAATATGATGATTATAATGATGAGGATAATGATAATAATGATAATAAATATGATGATTATAATGATGAGGATGAGGATAATGATTGTAATAAAGATGGGAAAAGATAATAATGGTGATGATAAGAATAACAAAGATAATGATCATAGTAATAAAAATAAAAATTATAATGATAATAATAATGATAGTAATAACATTAGTGCTTATGAATACGAAGATATTAACAATAATGATGGTTATAATAATGATAATTATGAATCTAAAAATGATAACGATAATGATGAAATGATAATGATATTGATGATGATGATAATGAGAGTGATAGTAACGCTGATGATAATAATAATGATGATGATTATGAAAATAGTTATGATAGTAATGAAAAAAGTAATAAAAACAATTATGATAGTAAAGATAGGAATGAAGATAATGATAATAACAATAATGATGATAGTTACAGCAACAGCAACAACAACAATAATGATAATAACAATAACAATAGGAATAACAATAATGATAGCATTAATGATAATAATGGTAGTAGTAATAACAATAATAATAATATTGATGATAATGACAGTGATAATAATGTTAGGGATATAATGATAGTTATAATGATAATAATAATGATAGTAACGATGATAATAATGGTGATGATGACAAAAGTATCATTAGTAGTAAAAACAATAGAATGATAATAACGATTTTTATAGTTATGCCAACAACAGTAATGATAATGATAATAGTAATAATAATGATAGCAATAACAATGATAACAACATAAATGATGACAATAATAATAATGATGATAATGATAATAATGAAAATAATTTTGATAATGATAATAATGATATTTGTATCAGTAGTAATAAAAATGTAGTAAAAATAATGATAATATGATAAATAGTAGTAATAGTAATATTGATAGTGATGATAATGATAATAATGATGGTGATCATGATGATGACGATGAAAATAATGTTAATGATGAAATAGCAATAATGACAATAACAACACAAAATATAATGACGATGATTATGATGATAATAATGATAATCTTGATAGTAATGATGATCATGATGATAATGATAATAATAATGTTAATGATAATAAACGTAATCATGATACTTAAAAATATATAACAATAATGATGATGATGATGATGATGATGATGATGATGATGATTGATTGATGATGATGATGATGATATGATGATGATGATGATGATGATGATATAATAATAATAATATCAACAACACTAACAATAATGATGATAATGATAGTAGCAATGATCATTATGTAATTAATAATGATAATGATAATAGTTATGATAATTATAATGATGATTGTAATGATAATGATGATTATAATGATAAAACAAGGATAATAGCAAAAGTAATAATCATGATAATAGTAATAGTAATGATGATAATAATAAAAATAGTGATGATAATGATAGTAATAACAATGATGATAATGACACTAGTTGAAGTAGTAGTAGCAGTAATGATAATAAGAATAAAAATAAGAATAAGAATGATAACGATAATGATAATAATAACAATAATGTCAATAGTAATGATAATAATAATAATCGTAATGATAATGATGATGAGAGTAATAATAATAATAATAATGATAATAATAATATAATAATAATGATAATAATAATAATGATAATGATAATGATAACAATGTTAATAGTAATATAATAATAATAATAATAATTATTATTATTATCATAATTATTTAAATGATAATAATATGTATCTGTCCCTCAGTAAGGATTATTATTTTACATTTAGAACTTTGTAATTAAGGGAATATATATCTTCGTTGCTGGAATTTTAGATATTTCATAAAAAATCTGATAATTGAGATAATATTAGAGATTACAAAATACCAACTTCCAACCATTTGCATTAAAAAATCAAGATTTTGAAATTGCCTTCACAAAGAATAACATATTTATGAAACATCACTTGAAATATGAAAAACTGAAACTCTGTCACACACACCCCAATAATAACAATGATAATAATAATAGTAATAATTAATAATAATAATAATAATAATAATAATAATAATAATAATAATTAATAATAATAATAATGATAAGATGATGATGATGATGATGATGATGATGATGATGATGATGAAATGGTGATGGTGATGATGAAGTTGAAGAGAAAAAGATGAAAAAAAAGAAAGAAAGAAAATAAATAATGATGATAATAATAAACGAATAAGTACAAAAAAAGCCCTCTTGGCCCGTACGCAAATTCGACATACGAAAAAAAACCCACACGTTATAAAAACTAATAACACAAATAACCGGGCACGTCAGAGGAGGTCTCATGCTACACAATGCCATCCTCCCCACTCAGCCAAGGCCGGGGAACAGTGCCTGGCAGGTGTGGCTCTCTGTCATGTCCCCTTAGGAGGCGGAGGGGGATGACGTAACCACAGGTGAGGCGACAGTTTGAACTCTCAGGGTAAGTTCATGTGTATGTGTGTGTGTCGTATGTATGTATGTATATATGTGTGTGTGTATATATGTATATGTATATATATATATATATTATATATATATATATATATATATATATATATATATATATATATATATATATATATATATATATATATATATATATATATATATATATACATATAATATATATGTATGTAATATGTATATATATACACTTATATATATATATATATATATATATATATATATATATATATATATAATATATATATATATATATATATATATATATATATATCGTTGCCGATAGATGGCGTTGGTTTTTCGTCGTGGGGATTTTGTTGCCGATAGATGGCGCTGGTATTTGCGTTGTGGGGATTCCGTTGCCGATAGATGGCGCTGGTAGTTTCGTCGTGGGGATTCCGTTGCCGATAGATGGCGTTGGTTTTTCGTCGTGGGGATTTTATTGCCGATAGATGGCGTTGGTAGTTTCGTCGTTGCTATTCCGTTGCCGATAGATGGCGTTGGTTTTTTCATTGGTGGGATTTTGTTGCGATAGATGGCGCTGGTATTTGCGTTGTGGGGATTCCGTTGCCGATAGATGGCGTTGGTTTTTCGTTGTGGGGATTTTTTTGCCGATAGATGGCGTTGGTTTTTTGTCGTGGGGATCCCATTGCCGATAGATGGCGCTGGTATTTGCGTTGTGGGTTTCGTTGCCAATAGATGGCGTTGTTTTTTGTCTTGGGGATCCCATTGCCAATAGATGCGCTGGTATTTGCGTTGTGGGATTTCGTTTCCGATGGCGTTTTTTTTGGGGATCCCATTGCCAATAGATGGCGCTGGTATTTGCGTTGTGGGGATTTGATAGATGGATTTGCGTTATGGGGATTTTGTTGCCGATAGATGGCGTTGGTTTTTCGTCGTGAGGATTCCGTTGCCGATAGATGGCGTTGGTAGTTTCGTCATGGGGATTTTGTTGCTGATAGACGGTGTTGGTAGTTTCGTCATTGCTATTCCGTTGCTGATAGATGGGGCTGGTTTTACGTCATGGGGATCCGTTGCCGATAGATGGCGCCGGTATTTGCGTTATGGGGATTCCGTTGCCGATAGATGGCGTTGGTTTTTCTTTGTGGGGATTTTGTTGCCGATAGATGGCGCTGGTAGTTTCGTCGTGGGATTCTGTTGCCGATAGATGGCGTTGGTTTTTCTTTGTGGGGATTTTGTCGCCGATAGATGGCGCTGTAGTTTCGTCGTGGGGATTCTGTTGCCCATAGATGGCGTTGGTTTTTCGTCGTGGGGATTTTGTTGCCGATAGATGGCGCTGGTATTTGTGTTGTGGGGATTCCGTTGCCGATAGATGGCGCTGGTAGTTTCGTTGTTGCTATTCCGTTGCCGATAGATGGCGTTGGTTTTTGTCGTGGGGATTTTGTTGCCGATAGATGGCGTTGGTATTTGCGTTGTTGGGATTCCGTTGCCGATAGATGGCGTTGGTTTTTCGTTGTGGGGATTTTGTTGCCGATAGATGGCGCTGGTAGTTTCGTCTTGGTGATTCCGTTGCCGATAGATGGCGTTGATAGTTACGTCATTGTTATTCCGTTGCCGATAAATGGCGTTTGTTTTTCGTCGTGGGGATTCCGTTGCCGATAGATGGCGTTGGTTTTTCGTTGTGGGGATTTTGTTGCCGATAGATGGCACTAGTAGTTTCGTCGTGGGGATTCTGTTTGCCGATAGATGGCGCTGGTATTTGTGTTTGGGATTCTGTTGCCGATAGATGGCGTTGGTAGTTTCGTCGTTGCTATTCCGTTGCCGATAGATGGCGTTGGTTTTTCGTTGTGGGGATTTTGTTGCCGATAGATGGCGTTCATTTTTCATCGTCGGGATTCCGTTGCCGATAGATGGCGTTGGTAGTTTCGTCGTTGCTATTCCGTTGCCGATAGATGGCGTTGGTTTTTCGTCGGTGGGATTTTGTTGCCGATAGATGGCGTTGGTATTTTGTTAGGATTCCGTTGCCGATAGATGGCGTTGGTTTTTCGTTGTGGGATTTTGTTGGAATAGATGGCGTTCATTTTTCATCGTCGGGATTCCGTTGCCGATAGATGGCGTTGGTAGTTTTCGTCGTTGCTATTTCCGTTGCCGATAGATGGTGTTTGTTTTTCGTCGTGTGGATTTTTGTCGCCGATAGATGGCGTTCATTTTTCATCGTCGGGATTCCGTTGCCGATAGATGGCGTTGGTAGTTTCGTCATTGCTATTCCGTTGCCGATAGATGGTGCTGGTTTTTCGTCGTGGGGATTCCGTTGCCGATAGATGGCGCTGGTATTTGCGTGGGATTCCATTGCCGATAGATGGCGTTGTGTTTCGTCGTGGGGATTCCGTTGCGATAGATGGCGCTGGTAGTTTTGTCGTTGCTATTCCTTGCCAATAGATGGCGTTGGTTTTTGTCGTGGGGATTTTCCGATAGATGGCGTTGGTATATGCGTTGTTGGGATTCCGTTGCCGATAGATGGCGTTGGTTTTTCGTTGTGGGGATTTTGTTGCCGATAGATGGCGCTGGTAGTTTCGTCTTGGTGATTCCGTTGCCGATAGATGGCGTTGATAGTTACGTCATTGTTATTCCGTTGCCGATAAATGGCATTATTTTTTTTCGTCGTGGGATTCCGTTGCCGATAGATGGCGTTGGTTTTTCGTTGTGGGGATTGCCGATAGATGGCCGTCGTTGGTATTCCGTTGCCGATAGATGGCGCTAGTATTTCCGTCGTGGGGATTTCGTTGTTATATTTCCTTTTATTGCATGATTAATCAGAAACTTTTTTATTTCCTTCCCTCTTTTAGGCTAATCTACTACGTTTTGATAAGAATTAGGAAGTTAAGTAGAGAAGCTAGACGCTAAGACACAAATAAACATCGAACTCTCCATCACGAATATATCAAAGGACCCTACGTATAAAACTTTCAAAAATACTCCTTTTCGAAATCCAAAGACAAAAAATCGAACAAAAACAAAATAACGTCTTTACCATTTGTGAATGATTAGGTTCTTATTATTTGGATTGGTTGAGTCTTGGGTCAGATCGAAACATTCAAACACTTATATTTATTATAACCAAAAGTAAACATATTTGACAAAGACACAATAATTCACATTAAATGAAAATTATTTAACTTTCCATTTTCTTTCCATTTCAAAACTTCTTCCTCTGTTCTTAATCGTCGGTCCCTTTCCCGGCCATATATATATATATATATATATATATATATATATATATATATATATATATATATATATATATATATATATATATATCCTTATTCTTCTTTTTCTTTTTCTATCTGCGAACATCTTATCCGTCTTTTTATTCATCACTCTTTAGTGTTACAATGATATTAGATTCTAGTTACCCCTAAAATACGTTTTCTGTTATCCACTTCAAAGAAAACGCTTTTTAGGGATAGCCCTTATATTCATGAATATCAATCATTGCCCTCTTGATCCTTCAACACATGTAAATTTCATGAAACTCAGTAATTGTTAACTAATGTAAACTAACCAGTTTCGGACTGTGCACATAATAGCTTTCACAAAAGCTTGGTTAAAGTACTAAAGAGGTCTTAAAAACTCGACAAAAGTGCCATAAACTTCGACAAACACCTGAGCAGTTGAAGGGCAGAGTGCTATGTTGAGGCCTCCACCCTGTATGCCAAGTTTCAAGTGCATGTCAAGTATACGAATATTCTTTGCGTCGGGCCTCGCACAATTCTAACAAACAGGCCGATTGTAGCGAATTCTTGGTAATATGCCAAAGGATTAATAAAACATTCTGTTAATAAGTATCATTTCATTTTCTAACTTAACACTGGCATAACATAAAAAATGAGACAGGATTTATGTGGGATCTTACATTTTACAAAATTCACAAACAATTTGACAAAAAAACACACTGCAACATAAATATTAAATAGAATTAGAATCCTCACGTCAGCACAGCTGATGCGATCTTGTTAATTTGTTAATATGTTGACAGAGTGGAATATACTTCAGGGATGGAACGGCAGGACAGATATTATTTTGATAATGGTACAAGAAGTAACAATTCAGACAAGTAATAGAATCTTAGGACGTATTTCAAATGTAAAACCCGTAAGATGATAGAAAATGGACGTTAATACTAGATTTTTCTTGGTAACATTTGTAAGAAAAATATCATAAGTGTTTACAGACCTAAATATTAGCTGTATTTTCTTGATTTATTTGTGTCATTGTATCTGCTTTTTTCTTCTTCTTTTTTCATTTGGAAGATTTTATTGTCTTGTTTTTAGGGGGAACTTCTTCGTTTATCAAATTTTTCTTTTCTATTCAGAGACCACTTATTTAATGCGAATTTGTTCCCTCTCTTTTAGAGGATATTGTTATTGTTGTTATAACATTTTTTCATAGTATTTTCTTCTTTTAATTTCTTGTTTTCTGGATTTTCTTGTTTTTGCGATGTCTTTGTTTTGTCCTTTCTTGCAAACTTTTTTTAATTCAGTTTTTTTCGTAAAAGGATTTTCTTCTCTTCTCTATAGAATTATTTTCCCGTATAACTTTTTTCTTCTTCTTTACATGTAAGAAGAAAAAAATATTTTCTTCTTTTCGTAGATTTTTTTTTTTTCTAAAAGCTGTTTATTATTTTTTTAACTATTTCCCCTTCTTTTTCTTTCTGGATTTTCCTTTTTTCTTAAAACACTTAAAACATTTCTTACAGACCTTCCTCCCTTCCTCCTTTCCTCCCTCTTCTCTCCCCACCTTTAATTCTTCACAATTTCTTCATCAAACTAACCACAACACCTTCACAACTTACACTAAAATACCTTAGACGTCTGAGAAGCCACAACACCCTCACAACCTACAAGAAAGTACCGAAGACGTCTGAAAAGAGTCTATTGCTCCAAGACTCCCGACCCCAGATGTTCGAGTGGACCCTGACCTGGAGCCTGACCTGGTCCTTGTAACTGAAGCTGGGGAAGAGGCTCAGGCCCGTGATCTTCTCGACGTCCTGTACCGAGGCGCTGTACTTCCTGGCGTACTGCTCGGAGCTCTGGAGGTACAAGGAGGGGTTAGGGGGGGTAGTGGGGGGATGAGGAAGGGCGTCTGGGCGGGGTGAATGGTTTTTTTGGGGTGTGGTTTTGATCTTGGTCGCGTTTTGCTGGTATGTTGTTTTTTTTGGTATTTTTGTGTGGTGTTTTTGTTGTGGTGGTGTTTTGATGGTTGGTTGGTGTTGTTGTTGTTGATGTGGTGGTGTTGATTGTGTGTTGCTGTGGTGTGGTGGTGTTATTGTTGTTGATGGTGATGTTGTTTCGTGTTTTCCTTCACACCCGAGTCCTTATTGACTTATTACCTATTTACTTACCACAATCAGACGAGTAGACGAAATTTCAAACGCGCAGACCCCCCCAAAAAAATCCACGTACCCCAAACAAACAGAAAAAAATAAAAGATTCCACGCAACCCCAAATCGACCTCTTTCAGCCCCCACTCACCAGACAGTTGGAGACGGCGGTGGTCTGAGGGTAGACGAAGGCCAGGGCGTCCACGTAAACAGGGGGACAGTCCTTCATGTGCCGCACCCACACGATGCAACGACTTACGACCAGGA